GCGCGCTGCATGCGCTCGTGGCCGTAGTGCTCCTGCGAGAAGACCTTGCTGTAGGGATCGTACCTGCGAAGGAGACCTGGGCTCAGCCCGTCCTGCCCCACATCACACCCGCAGCGTGGGGACCGCCGAGGGGGATGCCAGGGTCGCGTTCCCGGTGCAGCCCCCGGCACAACCCGGGCCACTCGCTCTGCTCCGCGCTCGGCTCCCCCCTGCCGGCTCATCAATTATGAAGAAATCTTTGATTTGTTGCTTTGTTTGACGAGGGGAATTTTAATCAAATCCCACTCGGGTTTCGGCAGCTTCCCCAGCGCCATAAACCTGACGCGCGTCTCCCGTTAGTAACAAACGACCTACTAAGAAATTCAGATTTCGCCAAATGGGCCCAGCCTTTCGCTCTTGATATTTCATCTGCTTTCAGCAGCCTCATCATCACGCTTTATGGCCTCTGCCTGCAGCAGCCGGGAGTTTAATGGCTGCACCTCAAAGAGCTTTCACAGGTACTTGTCAAAATGTTTATATTCAGCCCGAGTAAATGGCTGGTGTTCATCTCGCGGAGTGCGGCGCCCCTTGGCACCTCTCCATCAGCCTGCCCCTGCGCCGCGGCTCCGCCGGGCCACCCGGGCGCGCGAGGAGGCCCTGCGGCTGCAATGCGCCGCCCCGTGTCCCCTGGTGTCCCCTGGTGTCCCCGCGATGCCACCGCTGCGGGGCTCTTAGGGAAAGGAGGAGCTGCGGGAGGGTTTGGGAAGCGCGCCGTACCTGTAGGCAGGGATGCCCGGGTTGGCGATCATGATGGACTCCAGGTGGAAGCGCCCGTCGCCCAGGTACCTGCAGGGGGGACAGGCAGCGCTGGGGCACGCGGGCGAGCAGGGTTAGTGACACAGCGGGGACAGACGTCGGCACCGGGGCACCCGGTGCAGCGGGGGTAGCTGCTCCACCGCTACGGCGGGCTCGAGACGTTGCTGCTTCCATTTCTAATCGGATTTCAAGTCAGCAATTACATTTCAAAGCCTTTCATTCAGCTGCCCTAATGGAGTGAGGGCTTGGAAAATGAATTCAGACGTAAAACTTGACTAGATTTTGCCCTTAATTGGAGAATGACATTTTGGAAGATCAAAGCTAATTTGTCTGCAAAAGTTAGCCCTAGAGACGGGCTAAATAAGAAAATAATAACGAAAGAAGGAGCAGCAGGAGGCTGCAGGTACCGCAGCAACGTGCACCTGTCCGGGTGGCGGGGAGGACACTGCCACCGTCCCCGGCACCGCGGGGACAGCGAGGCCAGGAAGGAGCTGCAGGTGCCCACGCGAGCCTGGCCTGGAGTCTCCTGCTTGCTCCATGACCTTGGGAACGGATGAAAGGAAGAGCTTCCTTCCTCACTCCCCGCTTCCTTCTCTGCTCCCTGCTTCCTTCCTCGCTTCCTTCCTTGCTCCCTGCTTCCTTCCCCGCTTCCTTCCCTGCTCCCTTCCCCGCTTCCTGCTTCCTTCCCTGCCCTCCACGTGGCTAAGCGGAACCTTGGGAGACGCAAAGCAGGAGAGGTCCCATGCAGTCATCCCAGGAAAAGCTCGTCCCGCTCCAGCTCTCTCCCTAGGGAAGGGCCACCAGGCACGGGGCTCCCCAGCTCCCCCCAAGGGTGGGGTCTGTGTATTTATTTATTCGGCAGCGCGCTGTATTCACAGTACATTAAGCATTTCCATTACCTAAAATAATTAGGTGATAGGAAGCGAAGTGCTCCCTCTAATTTGCTGTCCTTAAATAAAATTAATGTTGCTGTGATGTTGGGCCCCGGCCATTTGTCTTTTCCAATTACCCACCCGCCCTTCCATCTATTATCTATTCTGATATACGACTCAATTATTTCCTCTGGGCTCCGAGCACGAGCAGCGCCGGGAGCTGCGGGGCGCCCGTCCCATCCGCTCCTGCCCCCCGTGCCACCCGCAGCACGTGGGGACACCCAGCAAGGCCACGGGGCAGCACGATGGCAGAGGGCATGAACAGGGTGAGCATCGTCCACCCGGCTGTTGTCCTACACGTGGTGGGTGCCAAGCCCGGTCCAAAGTGCCCTGTGGGTTTG